AGTTATCTTACAAAAGAATCGGGCTAGAGTTATATGAATTGGTCATGTGATTGATGAAATTTTTGGCAAGAACTTGAAATGAACACAATTAGACAAAATGTGGTAAAACAAAATAATATATTATACACAAACATGTGGCTAAAAACTCTTAATAATAAATGAATATTTCCTATTGTAACTTAATATTATGAAATCTTTTAAAATAAAGGCCTTCAAAAATACTTCCATTAAAAATAAATGCACAAAAACTGTTAATAAAACATAATAATTTCATAATCTCATATTTCATCTCAAGAAAATGGTTCAAAATTATTCATTACACACATATAAAATTAGGAGAATAATTTGACACCACCCCATGCATGAATTTCCCCTATTGCATCAGGATTTTACAAACACTCTTTCTGAACTTTGATATGATTGTTATCATGATACGAACATTTACATACCATTTACAGAAATCTATAAATAGCTTTATATCATATAAAGCAAAAATTACATGACAAAACTTTGCAGAAAATATCTTTCTTTCATATATGAGTAAAATTTACAAATTTTCTTACTATATCAAACCATTATGAAATAAAATGTTTCTAGAGAAAATCATATCAACACTTAATCTGATGAGGATCTTTAATTGTTCAGCACTGTCAATTATTATTTCTGGGGATTTAAGTTCGTTAGCCAATAGTATAGAGCCTAAAAAGACTACACGGATGTGTAGGCTGATCAGACTTTATACTGGAGACAAAGGCTTTACAGTTCAAGATCTGATCATTCAAAATAACTGTAAAAAGTGATCAAATACAAAGATGCTGATAAAAAAAATGTATGGCACACTCTTCAATAAATTGTAAAATAAATGGTCTAAAATATGAATAACATTCAATTTGATCATAAAAAAATAATTAAAGCTTAATGATATGTAGCAGATCTATAGATGACACAACATGTTTTAAAACTTAAACTACATAACATATTAATGACAGCCCCACTTTGATCACCTTTTTGTTCATATTAGAAATTTAATAAATGCATAAAAAAGTATTATCTAATTATTATGAATTAAAAAGGAATAAAATTTAATGAATGACTCTAAAATAGCATAGCAGGACAATAGATATTATTTTGGATGGATTTAAGTAAAACAAACATAACACAAGGTCATATGTTACCTTTCAAACTTTACTGATGGAGGGACACCCTTCTTTCATTATTTCAAGCACAAGCCAGCACTGGAGAAGAACCACTGAAATTCAGAAACCAATTGCATGGCTTCCTTACACAAAAGAATCCACGGTCTCTGATGTGAAAAAATCCACAGTGGTGAGGGGAAAGAAATAAGGAATTTGAATTTGGCCACCTTAAACACTTTGCAATGAGGGCCACTATGACAATAGCTAAAATGGCTGTAATTTCCTTTTTTCATAACTAATTAAATTGTTTGTACGAATATAAATGAAATATTCATTCAAATATTTGCATTCTAAACACATTTCTTACAAATATATATTCAAAGACCTTGTAAATATATTTACATACAAAAAAAATCCCCAATATTATTCTATGACATCTCTTATTATTAGGCCAATATTTCAATGACATCTGTCATTAGTAGATTTAAACAAGTTAAAGTGATTTTTGTTTTTTAAAAAAAAAAAAGGTAAAAATTTTTTTAAAAAAGGGTTTTTTAAAAAAAAAAAATTTTTTTTTTTTTAAATTGGGAAAAATTCTTTTTCAAAAAAAAAAAAAAGGGAAATTGAAAAAAAAAAAGGGCCCCAAAATTTTTTAAAAAACCCCCAAAAACCCTTTTTCCCCCTTTGGCCCTTTTTTTTTAAAAAAAAAATTTTTTGGGGGGGGGGGGGGGTTTTTTTAAAAAAAAAAATTTAAAAAAAACCCCCCGGGGGAAAAGGGATAATTTTTTGGGGGAAAAATTTTTAAAAAAAACCCCCCCCCCAAAAATTTTTGGGGGCCCAACCCTTTTTTTTTGGCCCCAAAATTTTTTTGGGGAAAAAAGGGAAAAATTTTTTTAAAAAAGGGGTTTTTCAAAAAAAAAAAATTTTTTTTTTAAAAAAAAAAATTTTTTTTTAAATTTTGATTTTTGGGGCCCCCCTTTAAAAAAGGGAAAAAAATTTTTTTTTTTTTTCCAAAATTTTTTTTAAATTTATTTTTTTTCTTTCAAATTTTTTAAAATTTTCCCCTTTTTTTCCCCGGTTTTTTAAAATTTTTCCAAAAAACCCCAAATTTTTTTAAAATTTTTTTCCCCAAATTTTTCCCATTTTTTTTAAAAAAAACCCCCCAAAATTTAAAAAAATTTTTTTAAAAAAAAATTTTTTTTTTAAAAAAAATTTTTTTTTTCCTTTTTTTTTTTAAAATTTTTAAAAAAAATTTTAAATTAAAAAAAAAAAAGGGGGTTTTAAAAAAACCCAACCCCCAAAAAAAACCCCCCCAAATTTTTTGAAAAAAAAATTTTTTTTTTTTTAAAAAAATTTTTAATTTTTTTTTTTTTTTTGCCCCCAAAATTTTTAAAAAAATTTTTTTTTTTTTAAAAAAAAAAATTTTAAAAAAAGGAATTTTTAAAAATTTTTTTTTTAATTTGGGAAATTTTTTTTAAAAAAAAAAAGGGGTTTTTTTAAAAACCAAAAAAAGGGGGGGGGGGGGGGGGGGGGGGGGGCCCCGGGGGGGGGAAAAGGGGGGGGGGGGCCCGGGGGGGGGGGCCCCCAAAGGGGGGGGTTGGGGGGGGGGGGCGGGGGGGGGGGGGAAAAAAGGGGGGGGGGAAAGGGGGGGATGGGGGGGCCGGGGAGGGGGGGGGCCCCCGGGGGGGGGGCCCCGGGGGGGGGGAAGGGGGGGGCCCGGGTTTTTAAAAAAAAGGGGGGCCCCCGGGGGAAGAAGGGGGGGGGGGGGGGGGGGGAAAAAATTTTTTTTTTTTGGGGGGGGGGAAAAAAGGGGGGGGGGGGGGTTTTTTTCCCGGGGGGCCCCCGGGGGTTATTTTTTTTTAAAAAATTTTTTTTTTTTGGGGGGGGGGGGGAAAAAAATTTGGGGGGGGGGGGGGGGCCCCCCGGGGGGGGGGGGGGGGGGGGGGTTTTTGGGGGGGAAAAAAAAAGGGGGGGGGGGTTTTTTTTTCCCCCCCCCCCCCTTTTTTTTTTTTTGGGGGGGGGGGGGGCGGGGGGGGGCCCCGGGGGGGGGGTTTTTTTTTGGGGGGGGGGGGGGGGGAATGGGGGGCGGGGGGGGGGGGGGGGGGGGGGGGGGGGGGGGGGGGGGGGGGGGGGGGGGGAAAAGGGGGGGTTGGGGGGAAAAAAAAAACCCCCCCCTTTTGGGGGGAAAATTTCAAAAAAATTTTTTGGGGGTTTCAAGGGTTTTTTTAAAAAAGGGGTTTTTTTAAAAAAATTTTAAATTTTTTGGGGGCCTTTTGGGGGGGGGGCCCAAAAACCCCCCAATTTAAAGGGGGGTTTTTTTAATTTTGGGGGTTTGATTCTTGTGAACTGTTTCCTTTTTTTTTAATTTCCCCCCTTTTTAAAAAATGTTGGCTTGGGTTTTTCCTTGCTTCGGAACTACTTTCCCAAAAATTTTTGGAAGTGATCTTCGCTTTTTTACACTAGCTGTTTCCCCAAGTCGCCTTCCAAGAGAAGTGGCGGGTTTTGCAAAACCTTCCGGGGAAAAACTTGAGAAATCCGGGATATTTTTGGTAAAATTCTCAAACTCTAATAGGCTTTTGTGAAGCACAAGGATTGGAGATGGGAAAAAATTCAAATATGGATTAACCTCTGGTTTAGTAATTTTCACTTTCAGAACCCTAGAAAACTCCCCGTCCCTTTGGTTCCCGTCTTTCAGACCCCCGGGTTTAAATTTGGGCCAAAAGGGAAAATGTTTTCCAAAACATAAAAATTCCCACTGGTCGTTTCCGAGTTTTTCACTGTCTAGCCCCATTCGACTGCCTACCGCGACTTGGGAAAAACTAAATTTCGTGGGCCTTTAGTTCATATTTTTGAAAGCATCCCGCTTGAACTTGAACCCCGCAAAAATCTATGTTTCTAACAGGGCCAAAAATTTCCAAAACATAGACATCCTATAGTCCCAATGTCTGGAGAGATAAATTAACAGCATTTTCCTTTGATGTACCCTCGTCCATAAAGTAAAGTCATTTTTTCCCACTCTAAATTTCACCACATGACCCTATAAAAAAATCAGCCAGAAACTTAAAATTTACTGACAAATATAAAACGATTTAACTTTTCATTTAGAATTTTAGCCAAACCCCCTTTTTTTTTAAAACCCTTTTTTTTAAAAATTGTCTACATAAATTTTAAAAATGAAAAAGATAAAATGTTTCTTGTAAAAAGATAATTTAGCTGCGTCATGAAAAAAAACCAAAATAGGTTTCATTTGCGACCAAACAAAGGATCCAAAACTACCTGCGCAAAACCCAAGTCTGTAAGGATCCAAGTTTTTCGCATCAGTTTTTCTACTGGGTTTTAAAGGTTTTGGGAAGGGAAACAGCAGGGTCCCGATCAGAACCCGCGCGGGTACTATTTTTAGCTTTTTTGAGTGAAAAGCATTCAAACTTTCATCTAAAAATTTTTGGGCAAAAGTTATTTTTCTGACTTACATTAAAAGGAAAAACCCTTTTCTTTTAAATATTTTTCCCGAAACCCGCATTTCAAAAAAACCCCATGGAGTCCCCTTTAAATTTAAAAATACATGTTTTAATAAATGATTCACACCATCCTTGTTTAAGTTTTATTTTAAATTTACAAATTTTAATGAAAAAAAAAATACATTTGAGCCCGTGCCATGACAAAAGCCAAACTTAGTGCGTTTGCGACCAAGATGGACCAGAACAGTCTGCGCATCCGCGCAGTCTGATCAGGATCCATGCTGGTCGCTATCAGTTTCTCTACTTGTTATAGGGTTTATAAGCGAACAGCATGGATCCTGATCAGACTGCGCGGATGCGCAGGCTGGTCTGGATCCATGCTGGTCGCAAACGCATTATGTTGGTTTTGTCATGACGCGGCTCATTTATCAGTCAATATATACCTTTCATTGATAACTTGGATACGTTTGTCTGATGATGACTGCAGCAGTATTTCCTTTTCCCTGAAATAATCCTCCGCACACTCTTCTTCAAAATCGTGAAGTTTTTCCATATCATCGTGAGACAGAAACAATTCTGTAAACAATTAAGGTAAACATGTTACAACATTTATGATGGCCGTAAATGACAAAATAAAGTCAGCCAGATAATATTAGATGAATTATTTTTAAAAATTAGTCATCTCATCATCTCCAGGATAATTCACTTTAAAAAAAAAAAAAAAAATTGGTAACCTCTTTTTCATTTAAAAATGATGTTAAAAAGCCGGATGTCTTTTTTAAAACCCAATACATTATGCCTATGATACCCGTTTTAATTATGTATGGTGAAAAAACTAAATCATTAAAATTATATGAAATAATACATTTAAAAGTTTCCAAGTTAAAATGTTTTATATTAACAAATTAAATAACTGCATGTTAACCACTAAAATTGCTCTAAAATCAGATAATACAAATCAATGCATACAAATATTTTTGTACAAATTTTGACAGGACTTTACAATCTTGCAATGTCTTAATATCCCACTCTAAGGTAACTGTTTAGAACCTTGTTTTAACAGTTACCCTTGAGCCAAATATTCCAGTCTGTACTGGCAACAGTTTAAGACTGTTATTTCTTACATATCACACAGGATTATCTACTGTTTACACCAGTGCTAGAAAACCTTTCAAACATTCTGCATGTAAGATTAGTCTCATGCTTTAAATGATGTCATTGCAGCGGGCAATTTATGAATAAATTGCATTCTTAGAAAGAAGTTGTAAATTCATATGCTTCTTTAAGAAAAAAGTGCTAAATAAAAATATTTTTCCGAATCAAGATTGATATGCTATGAGCAAGAAAAATAATCAAACATCGGCTGTCTTAACAGACTGGAAAATCTAGCTTACGGGTAACTGTTTACTGAAACTCGACAGAGCCTTGTTACCACCATAAACAATTGCCCTCAAGCTAGATATTCCTGTCTGTACTGGCAGCTGGTGTAAGACCCTTATAGTCACCACTAAGTTTGACTGTTTATTAAGAAAACAAAATCATACTTAATCCTGAGTCAATATCTCTCTTTCCTTGGCATCTACGTTTAATAAACTTCAATGCTAGATATATATGACTAATGCCAATCAATGGAGGAGGTAAGATCGGACGAAGTTCATAGTTTACTATCAGCTGACATCGTTGAAATTTCCACAGTTTAATTGTGTGTGGGTTGATTCGGATAAAGGTTGCACTGTAAATAAAGAAAGCAATAATTTTAATGTAACGAAAATGTAAGTTATGTCAGGGATAGTGAAAAAGCAGAAGATATATTCTTTCACATTCTCACTGCAGCATCTGCTTGTAATTAATTCATACATCACACATAAATCAGACTGAATATACAATATTACTCATAAAAAATCTAAACCATATCAATTTACTCAATAAATTAAAGTAATAAGAAACTAGTATTAAACTTTGCAATATTAAATCCTACAAATAATATATCTTACCTGAATGTATTAAATTCATAACTAACATATATCTTTCTAAAAACATCTTAACCCTACCTGCTTTGAATTTCAATATAATGGTATTTCTGTAACGAAATACTGAGTTACCAACAGTACAGGGCCTGATACTACATAAATGTGCAGGCTGGCCTGGCTCTGTACTGGTGGTACAAAGGCTAATTACAGCTTAAAGGTACATTATGTCTCAGAAACAAATTTTTGTTCTTCCTTAACGTGAGTTTTATAATGTTGAAATAATGGTTTTAGAGCATGTTAGATGCTTATTACATGAAGAAAATAGTGCTGAATGTTAAATTGTCATAAAAGAAGCAAAATAAAAACAAAGTACAGTAAACTTCACATATAGCGAACACGGTTATAGCGAACTTCCGGTTATATGGAAAAAAATATTTTGGCCCGAATTTCGCCCTTTTTTATTTAATGTAAAAAAATACGGTTACAGCGAACACGGTTATAAGGAATGATCGCTTATAAGGAACCAATTTTTAGTCCCAATGCGATAAAAAGTACAGAAAATTACACTTTTATAACGAACTCCAAAATATCGGCTATCCGTAAACAGATCACGCATTTTCTACTTTCGTTTTCATAGGCACAGATTAAAACTTGGCCGCATGTAGCGGATATATTAGGAACAAATAATGACGATGGCAGTCAATCTTCCGAAGACGAAATCAATTTAGATGATCTGCCGGTTGTGTCAAAAAAATGAAACTATTAATTGTTTGCACAAGATTAGGTCATACCTCGAGTCTAATGCACATGTTGAAGAAACAGTTTTTAAAAGTTTATTGGATATTAAATTTAACCTGAAGAGTTGTAAACATTCCCAAACTAAAATTACCGACTTCTTCAAAGCAAAGTGATTATTTTTGTGCATGATACTGTATCGTTAATAAATAACAATATTGCATATATGGTACATATCATATAATTATCTTATAGATATATTTATACTTAAAAGATATATTAAAAGAAATAACATTGCAATTATTTCTTTTTTTTCTTTATTGAATCAATATAAGGGAGAAAACAATGACGAACCCAAGAGTTATTTCTCTTAATCAAATGCTCTTCTAAATGGAGGACGACGGTAAACAATTAGTTCGTTATATGTAAAACTGTTCGCTATAAAACTTCTGATACAAGGAACTAATTCGCTATATGCTTACAAGGAACTCCGGATATAAGGAACATATTTTGAATGTCCCAATGAATTCGTTATAAGCGGAGTTTACTGTAGTATTTTGACTTCCATACAAAATACTAAATTAATATACATGTAACTGTACTTTTTAACAAAAGGTAGCAGAAGCAAAAGATGGTTCAGGTAATTGGCCAATGAGTAACTTTTTGGAAACTATATCAGGACACCAAAACTAAAACAAGATTGCATTTGAGAAAAATGCTATGCCACCGCATGGTTCAAATTTCATAGCTGTACATCAAAGGACAAGAAAGTAGGTCACATCATCAAAATCTAGGTCAAAGTTCAATTTTACAACTAAAACTGTGCACATGGTAAAAATGTCATTGCTGTACATCAAAGGACAAGAAAGTAGGTCACTGTCCCTTGGGCAAGGCATAATTTTGACCCAAGGGTTTAATAACAATCTTGATACAGGTCCCCAAACAACATTTCCAAGTCAAATATCTAAGCTATAGCTTTCTCCCATTCAGAAAACATTTGTTTTAATTTTCTGTTTTAACTACCGTGTAACATAATGAGAAATCACTGCCCCGGGCAGGGCCAATTTTTGACATTTGAACAACTTTGGTAGAGGACCTATAGATGATATTAATATATCAAACATCAAAGCTTATGCCTTGAACCTTCAGAACAAAATTTTTTTTTTCACTATATGTACATAATGAAAAATCAATGACCCCCGGGAGGAACCAATTTTGACCCCAGGGCTATAATTTGAAACAATCTTGCTAGAGGTTCACTACACAATGTTTCATGCAAAATATCTTAACTCTATCCTTTGTAAATTTAGAGAAGATGATTTTTTAAGTTTTAAACTATATACATATAAGATAAACCTATGGCTCCCAAGGGCTGGGCTAATTTGACACAAGAGGCAAAATTGAACAACTTTGGTAGAGTACCTTTAGATGATATTATTTAACAAATATTAAGCTCTAAGCCTTGTACCTTGTCCAGATAATAACATTTTTTTTTTTTTACTATATGTATATATTAAAATCAATGACCCCCAGGGCGGGGCAATTTTGACCCCAGGGCTATAATTTGAACAATCTTGCTAGAGGTTTACAACACAATGTTTCATGCAAAATATCTAACCTCTAGCATTTGTCAATTGCTAGAAGAATTTTTTTTTTAAAAGTTTTTACTATATACATATAAGGAAAACCAATGACCCCTGGGCAGGGCCGATTTTGACCCAGGGCTATAATTTGAACAATCTGGGTAGAGGTCTACCAGACAATGCCTTATGCAAAAATATCTAAGCTCTAGGCCTTTTGGGTCTTTACAAGGTGTTTTAAGTTTTTTACTATATGTACATATAGCGAAAATCAATGACCCCGGGGCGGGGCCGATTTTGACCCAAGGGCTATAATTTGAAACAATCTTGGAAAGAGGGTCTACCAGATGATGCTTATGCAAAATATCTAAGCTCTAGGCCTTTTTGGGTTTTTACAAAAAGGTATTTTAAGTTTTTTTACTATATGTACATAGTGAAAATCAATGACCCCCGGGCCGGGCCAATTTCGACCCCAGGGCTATAATTTGGACAATCTTGTTAGAGGTCTAACCAGACAATGCCTTATGCAAAATATCTAAGCTCTAGGCCTTTTGGGTCTTTACCAAGAAGATTTTTTAGAATTTATTCTTATAATTCCCTTTTGGTTGCCATGGCAACCAGATTTCTGCAAGGAATGAAATTCTTTGAAAAACATTGGAAGCCCTTCACCCAAGGAAATCCTGCCAAGTTTGGTTGAAATTGGACTAGTGGTTTTTTGCACATAGAAGTTACTATATAATCTATATAAACACACCAAAAACCATACACCAGGTGAATCGCTATATGCAACCGCATCGCAGATGCTGCGGTGGCATAACTATATGCCACAATGTCCCCTTGGGTGCTTGAAACGAAATATTTGACTGATTAAGGGCCGGTTAAAAGCTATGAAGTTGTTAAATCAGACATAGCAGTGAAATACTTGTAAAACTGTTTGCTGTGGACTTGTAATTGGCATAATTTGACATATACTGTAAATTGATGAAGAATAAATTCTTGCATTGCAGGAATCTCACTGACTGAATCTCAATGCATCAAGGCAGTAAATATGCAAAAATGCGGCCAAAAATGCCCTCTGGAAGAAAGTCTGATATTTCTTTACATTAAACATTTTTTACATA